AGCCCCCCAGAGCAGGTTCCCCCCGTGCCCCACGTACCGATGGGGGGTCCCGAGGGCACCATGCACTTCTTCTCGGCCCTGACGGCGGGCGGGGCCGTCTGCAGCTTGGCCGTGGCCTGGTCGATGATCCACTGCACGGTGCCCTCGTCCAGGCGAGGGAAGGGCTTCTGGTGCAGGCGCAGGTGACAGCCCTCCGTGGGCTTCTGCACCTTGTGCATGGTCACCGCGGGGTACGGGTTCTCCTGCGCGGGGACGCCGGCGGCTCAGCCCCGGGGTCACCGCGCGTCCCCTCCCGCCCTGCAGCCCTCAGCCCCTGCTCCCAGCTGGAGCCTGCGAGCCCCGGGAGCTGCTCCCCCAGCCCAGGTGCCGGCGGGAGCTCCATCCCTGCCACTCTGGCTCCCAGGGAGCATTCCTGCCTTCAGGTGTCACTGGAAACCTCCAGCTGGGCCGGGGAGGCTCGGGGTGGACATCAGCAGGAATCTCCCCATGGAAAGGGTGGGCAGGCCTTGAAGGGGATGCCCGGTCCCCATCGCTGGAGGTGTCCAAGGAATTCCCAGAGGTGGCACTCAGGGTCGGGGATAAGGTGAGCACTGGGCACAGCCTGGACTGGATGAGCTGGGAGGGCTTTTCCAGCCTCAGGGGTTCTGGGATTCTGTGATCCTATAAAACCAGGGAATCTCACTCCCAGGACCCCGGCACACGAGGATGTCCCTGACCACACGTGACAGCGCAAGGAAGGACAGGAACCATCACCACGAGCTCAATGAGGGAGGACAGAGTGACCAGGACTCCACCCAGGCTCTCCCTGCCCTGTATCCCCCAGCACAATCCTACTCCTGCCCAGGAGCTCCCGGACTCACATTTTTGTAGAGTTTCTCTGCCAGCTCCTTGATGTGCCTCAGGATTTTCTGCTTGTTCCCCTCCTCTGCCTTCATGCGCTTCACCTCGTAGGCCACGAGCTGGGGAGGACAGGACAGGGGTGACAGGAGCAGCTCCAGGGCTCTCCCAAACTCGGGGCCATGGCACATCCCACTCAGCCCCTCAGATCCTGCTCAGATCCCAGAGATCTCACTCAGCCCCTCAGATCCCCCTCAGCCCCTCAGATGCCCCTCAGCCCCTCAGTTCCCCCTCAGCCCCACAGATCCTGCTCAGATCCCAGAGATCTCACTCAGCCCCTCGGATCCCCCTTGGATCCCCCTCAGTCCCTCAGATCCCGCCCAGCCCCTCGGATCCTGCCCAGCCCCTCGGATCCTGCCCAGCCCCTCGGATCCCCCTCGGATCCCCCTCAACCCCTCGGATCCCCCTCGGATCCCGCTCAGCCCCTCGGATCCTGCCCAGCCCCTCAGATCCTGCTCAGCCCCTCAGATCCTGCTCAGCCCCTCAGATCCCCCTCAGCCCCTCGGATCCCCCTCAGCCCCTCGGATCCCCCTCAGCCCCTCGGATCCCCCTCGGGTCCCGGGGTGGAAGGGAGCTCCCCGCGTTCTCACCTCGTCGAAGAGGTCGATGGGGCGGTAGGGAGCCCCGCGCTCGGTGACGAAGCCAGCGAAGGCCATCCCCTCCAGCACCTTGGTCAGGAAATCGTCCTCGGTGAGCCCCCGCTGGCCCAGGAACGCCGCCTGCGAGGGAACCCGTCAGCACAGCGGGTGACACCCAGCCACGCACCGGTGGCACTGGGATGGTGCCACCTCCTTCCCTGCGCCACAGGGACACGGGACACACGGATATAGGGACACAGGGATATAGGGATATAGGGACACAGGGATATAGGGATATAGGGATATAGGGACACAGGGATATGGGGGCTCAGGGGCAAAGGAATACAGGGACTGAGGGATATAGGGACACAGGGATATAGGGACACAGGGATATAGGGACACAGGGACACAGGGATATAGGGACACAGGGACACAAAGCCAGAGGGACACAGGACACACGGATATAGGGACACAGGGATATAGGGACACAGGGATATAGGGACACAGGGACATGGGGACACAGGGACATGGGGACACAAAGCCAGAGGGACACAGGGACATAGGGATATAAGGACACAGGGATATAGGGATATAGGGATATAGGGACACAGGGATATAGGGACACAGGGATACAGGGACAGAGGGATATAGGGACAGAGGGACACAGGGATATAGGGACACAGGGACACAGGGACATAGGGATATAGGGACACAAGGATATAGGGGTATAGGGACACAGGACACAGGGATATAGGGACACAGGGACACAGGGACTCTGGGACACAGGGACCCTGGGACACAGGGACACAGGGACAGAAGCATACAGGGACATGGGAACACAAAGCCAGAGGGACACAGGGGCATAAGGGCACAGGGGCACAGGGATGCAGGAATACAGGGACAGAGGGACTCAGGGACACAGGGCCAGAGGGGCACAGGGATACAAGGCCAGAGGGACTCAGGGACACAGGGACACAGGGACTCAGGAACACAGGGCCAGAAGGGCACAGGAACACAAGGCCAGAGGCACTGAGGGCCGGAGGACTGCAGGTGGTCCCTCAGCAGTGCCAAGATCTCCCAGAACAGCCAGCTGCAGGCCTGGGCTCCCTCCTCGCCGAGCTCTGCAGGAGCAGCCGAGTACACCGGGGCAGCGCTGCCTGCCCCGGGAGACCCCGGCACGCTCGGGACAAACACGGGATGCAGGTGGGCTGGCAGGGATGCTGGGAGGTCGCTGCCTGGAAAGCCAGGACTGTTTCCTGGACTCAGCTGTCCCAGGAAGAGGCCCCCACCTTGTGGAAGCGGATGACGGGCTCGGGGTGGATGCGGATGATGTGCAGGCACCAGCGGTAGCCCTGCAGCAGCTGAGCAAACAGGCGCAGGAACACGGCCCGGATCTCCTTGTCCTGGAACAGGGAAGCACAGCCTGGGCTCGTGGGGCACAGGGTGAGGACAGGGCAGCTCCCGGGGCACGGATTTCCCCCCAGCACGGGATCGACCCCCGGGGTGAGGCCAGGAAATGTGGCTGAGATTCCAGGGAAAAGGGGCACGGGATTCGCTGTTCTGCCCCACTGGAGCTGCACAGGGAGGAGAAGGAGCTCTCCAGCTCTGGGAATGCTGCAAGCCCAAACATTCCCTGTCTGCTCCAGCCTGGCCATGAATCCAGAGCCCATGGGAATGTAGGATCCAGCCACGGCTCGGAGCAGTGGTCTCAGATGGACACAGAGCTGGAATGGTGTGTGAGAACCAGGA